TTTTCCGTAACTCTATCTTTGAGGCAACCTCGGTTCCCACAGCTGTGCCGAGTCCTTGCAGATTGCTACACAAGAAATTTCATCCCTTTCACTATTGAAGCAAAGTCTTAGATAACCTGCTGTTCAAACACGCAGCAGAGGTAGGATTTCTTTGTTACCAGGCTCCTCACTGAGGTGCACAGCCCATTTACTATATCCAGGAGGCTAAGACAGCATCAGATTAGACTGAAAAATTTCCTTCAGTCAAATTTACCCCTACTTTAAATAGGCAAATAGCAAGCGTTCAGGTGAAAAAGAAATACAACCCTAGAAACTTCTATTGCTGTGACTGTGTTTCTACTTCAGAGGTGAAGAGAGATCTATGCTTCTGTCTTAAAATATCACAACTAGCTTTAAGGCAAACCCCCTGGAGCAGAAACCAACAGCAAAATCTGAAGTTTATTGAAAATCACATCTTTGTATTTAAAAAAAAGGATAAGCTTCCCTATAACTAATACAATGTAATTTGTTGATTGGTCTGTTTCAAAACATCCAAAAATCTCTTAGCAAATATGCAAAATAACTGAAAGATGATGATCGTTTTTGCTGTAGTCTTGAGTACCATTTGGAAATGAAAAAAATGCCTTCCTTTCTTTTTACCTTCAAGCCAAAGAAGAAAGATTAACTTTAGCAACTTAAGAAGCGATATAAATTTTGATTTAGGACAGATTACCTCATACTTGTCTGGAACTTGAACAAATGAAGGCTAAAAATGCAAAGCATACGCAAGAACAGCTGTGATTTCTGACTTCAAGCCTGTTACTCTCCTTAGAGAAAGCTGGTTCACTGCAAAAAGAGAAGACAAGACTGGCCAGGTGCTTCAGGTTCCCTCACAGTATAGTGTATTTTCAGCATCTGACTCTGTTAATGACAATAAATTAAAGTTTAAATAAATCTATAGTTGGCCACATCCATAATTTAGAAAATCATACAATATAGTTAACCTAGGTAAAAATGTATTATAAATACAAATGTCTTAACTTTTGCAGTGACACCATTTATCAACACTTTTATGGTGTTGATCTTCATTCCAGGCTCCTGTTCATCAAGTCAGTCAACAAAAAGTTCATGCTTACTTGATACCAAAATTTTGCACTTGGATAATTCACATCCCTGTAATGAATCCCATCTGAAATTGCTTTTGAAATTTCACCACTAAACCTATTTTAATACTTTTTGGGTCTACAGCACTCCTTAGACAGCATCACTCCTGAAAGTCCTCAAAATGAGATTCACAGGAATACGATTACCAGATTCATCAATGGAAATGCAAGCTTTAATCTCTTTGTTGTTGTGCACCTTCTTATTTTTAAATTTAAATACAGTTGTTCTTTTCTGTTATAATCCGTTTTATCGTATTTCAGAAGAGCACGAAGGAATTGACACTGAAACGCTGTTCAAGACAGGCTGACAACATCTGCAATTCTAGACAAGACCCAAAGAAATGGGTGGTGTGCAGCAGTCCCTCTCTCCAAATCTACCTTCCCCCTGCTTCCATGCTTTTTTACATAATTTGTCTCCCAACTTCATAGAATGGTTTGGGTTGGAAGGGACCTTTAAAGGTCATCTAGTCCAACCTCCTTGCAATGAACAGGGACATCTTCAACTAGATCCCTTGTTCGTGTCCTTCTACCTGAACAACAGTTGCACTCTCCCACAATTTCCATTCCACCGTATCTTTTGAAGGACTATCAGTTTGTAACTTCTCAAATAAAACTTTCATTTAATCAGTAGAAGCTAATGACCAAAAGCCTCTTCCCCTTCAAGGGGAAGAGCTGCTCCATTCAAAGAGGGCACAAACTGAAAGACAAGGAAGGCCTATCTGAACATCCAGAAGCACTTTCTTTACTGGGAGGATGACGAATCACTGGCAGAGGCTGCCCAGGGAGGTTGTGGAGTCTTTATCCTTTGAGATATCTGAAACCATCTGGACATGGTCCTGGGCCACCATCTCCAAGTGGCCCTGCTTCAGCAGGGGAGGTTAGACCAGATGACCTCTGAGTACCTTCCAGCCTTAGCCATTCTGCGGTTCTGTGCAAACAGCACCAGTTGTATCTACCATATTTAATAACAATTTAAGAGGAGACCATTTTTGAAAGAATATAATTTCTTGTGCCACTGTCTACTGAAGAATGTTTACCAAATCAAGTAAGAAACATGTGTGCGTGCGCATGCAAATAAAGTATATAAGATATAACTGGAAAAATATTAAATCTTTCAAAAGTCTATACACATGATTTCGGAGAAATGGTGAATGAAACTTGAGGAATCTCTTCTCTTCTTTTACCACAATCTTTTAGAGAAGGAACAACTCATTTTTACTCAAATAAGTTAGGCATTGTATTTATAAATTACCCAGAAAGTTGCTCTTGTGTTAACAGAGGGGTTTTACTGTTTTCTTTGTAATACAGACAAGAATGCACTTAAGTAAAGAACACCGCTTTAGCTCAGAGCTGAGACAGGTATAGCCAGGAGCTACTTTTAAGGTGTTCTTCCACTTCGATTTATATTTATCCCATGCACTGAACTACTATAGTTTAAAAAAAACCCTCATGAATATAAGACACAGAGTAATCAGTACAAATATTTCATTTACAATAGGAAGTCTCAGGTTGGGGTGTTTTATTGGTCAGGTACCCAATCAAAAAATTTCTGATGACTCTACAAAAAGTTTTTGCTGTTACAAAACTACCCACACAAGTTTTTATTCACACTGATAGCTTAAAGATTTTTGGAGCCAAAATGCGTATTACGTTTTTGCTATGTCCTTTTGTGACTAATACTCTACAATGTACTTTTATGCAAATATATACACACACAGATATATATATTGCACAGAAGCGCAAGGCCAATTCTAGAGCTACCAGTAGCATCTAGAGCTCCATCACGTGCATACGAAAAAGAAGTCTAAACAGTGTTCGCGTACCACTGGTAAGAACATGTGTGTTAACATAACAATTCTGAAAAACCTATTTTAAGCTAATTTAAAACTCCTCTCTTCAATTTTTAGGGATGACGGAGTTGTTTTGTCTTTCATTTTTGAAGTTTTTTTGCTTAACTCGCAAACTTTCAGTAATGACTGATTAACTTTTAACTTCATTTAAAAAATGTGTTTACATGCCTGATTACAGAGTAATCTCTTCTCAATAATTTTGGCTTCTGAGGCTTGGAAACGTAGTCTTGGTGCTTTGTTAATTCCTAAAGGGAATCCTTGGTAATTTTTCATAAATTCCTGTAAAGCTGGATAGGGATATCCACCAGATTATGTCAGAAAGAACATCAAAAGAGATGGGCATGGTAAATGTAGATACACAGTACCTTGAAATTACAGCGATTCAAGACTGGGAAGGAAGCTTTCCTGGAAGGCAGGAAAGGAGGAAGGAAGATAACAAAAGGGGCTGCCACTTCACACGCTATGTGCAGGTGTATGCAAAAACTCACCAGCACCACAAAAAAAAAATCCTCATGATTCAGAGGCCAGCTTAGACATGGATGTCTGAAGACCCATCCATGATGCCGCATGGAAGAACACAGAGGAAATCACTCAGTGAAAATAAGTAAGGTTTTCCACTTTGTGTGCTACATTAAGCGACTTAAAGAGTAAGTTAGGGAATGAAGGCATCAATGTCAGCTATTGCACAACAGTAAGAAAATGCTTTCAGAAGGGGGAAACCTTTTCCATGTCCTTATAACTTGGGGAAGTTCATTTCAGTTCGATTGACGCTTTTGATGCTAGATAGATAAATAGATTCATAGAGAGATATTACATGAGTTCTTGACATCAATGACGCACAAGCCCTCCAGGTCTATTTAACAGAGAGCTAAATCCTTATTGCCATCAGCAGCAGATTTAATGACCACAGAAGAAATTAATCACATCGCACACTGCCTCACTCTTTTCAGTGCACAAGTTGGACATCATATTAAGAGCCTATTTGTTTCCTTCTAGGTTTTTCTTCATGAAAATAAATCAGTAACTAGATATCACCTGCTTCGTCAGTGGTTGTAGGAACATCTACTCACCAACAAATACTTCAAAAAACCTATACAGTATTTGTCCTTTGCATGCCATGAACTCTTACTCTTTATCAGGTATTAAAAAACTTAATTTTTATCACTTGAAGTTGTTTACAAGGTTTGTAAAGGTCAAACATTTTCTTTTACCATAACAACCCAAGTCATGGAGAGGCAAGAGCTACCAGAGGTCCTGTAGCACTCTGAGTGGTCCTAACTTCCTTCTATCAAATGCCCAAGAAAGACTAGCTATATTCATAATTAACGTAAAATAGGGAGATGTCAGTAAAACACTCCTGTGATGAAAAAACTATCAAAATATAGCCCTCATGAATGTCCTAGTCCTTAATTAAGAAAGCGATCACTAAGAAAAGCAGCACGATCAATTCCGGCTTCCTCACCAATCGACTATGGTACTGTAGAGCCACTTCTCTTTTGCTCAAAGACAAAGTAGACGCACTACTGAGTCAAAAGCCCTGGAGGTACCCACAGGGAGACAGGTGACCTGAGTGAATTGTACTGTCATATAAGGCTTCCAAAGCATGACAAGACAACCGTATTCATCCTCCAGTACAGGAGAAGCAGGAGCATTCTTACATCAATTGTATCTGTGTCCATTAAAAATTACAAAAACCCACTCGGAGGGGTGGAGAAGAAGCCTGATTCAGCAGCAGCATGAAGTAAAACAACGCATCGTTTAGAAGGTGTTCATTGCAAAACACCCTGGCATACTCTACATAAATTATACCACATATAATTGGAGTTCATTCCACAGGGGTTTTTTTTGTTTGTTTGTTTTTTTTTTTTTCCAGATTAACAACATAGAATTTTATCAACAGAAAATACACAGGAAAACATATATGTGCGTGTGCATATATATATTTCCATTAAAAAAAAACAAACTCACATGTATTTCATCTTTTCTTTTTCATTTTGCGTTTTCTTACCTTCTACTGCTCTCTTGAAGAAAACTTTACAGCTACCACATGTAACCACCCCATAATGACATCCAGATGCCTCATCTCCGCACACCAAACACACTTTGGAAGGTCTTGAAGATCCAGTTGATACACTTCTCAATGAAGAGCTGGAGTGAAGACAAAAAGAAAAAAAAAAACACCAAAACAAAACAGTTATGAATATTTCAAATCACACTGGCCATAATGCAAAGTTCAATTAAGAATTTATAACAGGTATACTGCTCAAGGCACCTAACAATTAGGAAACCACAACTCTTTCTGACAGTGCCTGGCTGAATACATGAATTGCTTTAATTAGTAAGTGAATATTTTTATTGTCTGTTTTAAAACACCCGTAATACATCAACGTTAATGTGAGAAGTTACCACAAGGGCAGGGGAATTTATTGGTAGCAGATGATTAAAACTGAAAATAAACAAGAAACAAATAAACCACTCTGGCAGCAACCTGATAGCTATGAGTTTTCTGTTTGTTTGTTTCAAGCCTTTACAGCTAAGGAATATCTGTAACAAAACTGCTAAAACTATTTTATGAAAAAGAAGTGATATGTGCTCTCCTGTCCACGTTCCTGCTTACCACTACAGTGGTCCTTGCACTTGTATTTAATTTTCCTTTAATTTAACAGCTCATTTCCAAGGTAGTTTTGCAGCCTTTTTACTTTCTGCAAGCACAGAAGACCCTTCTATATGACTGCAGGTGCCAGAAAAGCAGCACCGGAGGTTCAGAAACCATCTTGAAGTTTTGCAGACTGACGCACCTTGCAAACCCAACTTCAACCGTCTATGGCCTTCTTAAAAGGCGAGCTGTTTCTGTTGTTGGAGTTTTTTTAAACCATGACTCTCCAAAGGTATCTTTAGGAAGTATTTTCCACTGGCAACTCTAAAAGACAACGCTTTTCAAAACCAAGTCACATTTCATGATGCAGTGAGTGCCCTCCCTCCCTTTCTCCCCCCGGGAACTGGAAATGCCACCTTAATGTAATCGGCACGCCCGGAGAAACGTGCCAGATACTGAAGGAGATGAAAGCTTTGGATCCCTCCCATGCCTCCGGAGGGCTGGGGAGAGCCTGTCCTACCACACAGCCTCTCTTCTCCAGGTAAACGTGACCTCTTGCATTTCTTCACGTTATCTCTCCAAATGCTGCCAAGGAACTACAAAAACAACCCTATAAGACTTTACACCGATGGTGAAATAATCTGATAGCCCAAACTGCAAGTCATAGGCTATTTGTCGGTCAGTCACTGGGAAACAAAGTTCAAATTCAAACATAAGATAACCAGCTTGCTTAAGAAATTTCAAGCATGCACCCTTTGCCTTTTTCCAATTTTCTGTCTTCCTTTAAAGACTAGACAGAGGCCAAGTGATTTATCCAGCGGCACAGCACGAGTGTCATTCCAGATCAAGGACCGCAACTCTCCTGGCCTGCAGCTTTACTGTAACATTAAATCTAAATGTCTTTTTAAATGACAGCGTGCAGATGCTAATCAAAATATTCCAAACAGTATTCTTGCTCTCGTCTGCTCGCTAGTCTGTTAGATTTAGTAGTTTTAGTCCTTGTGCTATCTATACTTTCATTATATAATATCACACTGCTTGATAATTGCTAGGTGATGGCATTAGCACATCTGTTAGAGAGACAAAGGAAAGCCTCACCCAATCTATGTTAAAATAAGTTCTATGTGCTCAAGTCACAGTCATAGCTATGCACACTGCATTAATCCACCCCTAAGGAAAAGCACCTCCTCCAAGATTTGCTAAGACTGTGCTGGTATTCAGCTCAGCGTTTGGATTTGTTTAGGCAACGAACAGGACTTTCTCCCTCTAGCACATTTCATACTGCATGAAAAACATTAAGCCTCTCATTAAACAAAATTCGTCAGAAGGTGTCTGCTTTCTAGAGAAAAGCATCAATAACCTGAAAAACTAACTCCTTGAATTTTTTTTTTTTTTTTTCACTTCAAACAGCCTTATTTTGTCTGAGAAGGGAGACATTTCAATTCTGACATACCACCAAAATGTCTTATGGTATTTGTAATTTTGATGCTGCACGTTCCCTTTTCTTCATAAGACTAGCAAAAAAAATCTCCTAGTCTTTCTACCCTGGAAAAGGTCAGTGTATTATTATTAGTTTTTAAATATCTAAAAAAGGTAATTCTGTTAAGAGAGCTCTTCCTGAGGAGAAATGGAGGTTTCCAGGGCATCACAGCAGTGTATGTGTTTTTTATTTTTATATATACACACTCTCTGTATATATATACACACACATACTGTAGATACAGAAGTATGTATTATTTTTAGTTGAAAATAAATTGTCATGTAAGATTTGCAGAAGGTGGGAGAGTGTTTTTTTAGATACAAGCTACCCTAAAAAAATTCACTTGCATAGAATTATTGGGTAAAAAAAGACAGTAAAGACACACTGAGACTCCCGTTGATCCACAACTACTACTAAATGCCTACCTAAGGCATGATCTATAGCATGTTTTATACAGTGCTCCCTAAACAAAAGGCTTGAATATAGCTGAAAGGTGAAGGTATGTATTCAACTACCCAGTCACAGCATCACAGTGAAAACTCAACATTCTGGAATAAAACTCAATTAACTCCCATACATCCTTTTAAAGAGGTTAAAACACAAATGAAGTATTTTCACTCTTAATAGGAGTATCAAACACAGAGCAATTCTCAAATACTTTATTGCAAAGAAACATTGATATTAGCCGTTGGTACTTCAGTCTCCTCCAACTTGTACCAGCTCTAGTAATGATTGTCTTCTAACAAACAGCACTTGGCTTGTTTTTAAAACCTCTTATGTTGTCTTTCACCCACGCTACATCAAAGTATTCACCAATTCAAAACGCTGTTATATTACACCTCAGGTAAAGTGGTGTTTGTACATAGCTGCAAAATAAAAGTCTTGAGTCCAAAAAATATGCTCAAATCATATTGCTAAACCTCAGATTAAGTCATTGTCTCCATGGAAGCTTTTATTTCTCAAGAAGGCACGCACGGACGGTTACACCTTTTCCTCCTGAATCTCTCTTACGTCCAGGATGTCATTCCTTTCTTAGCAACTTCACCAGGGTGAACAACATCTGCATCAAGATCTGACTGGTGAGCAAACTGCCTCTCTGCCCTCATTTGAAGGCCAGATATCGGGTGTTCACGACACACAAACACACTTCTATTCATCTCTTTTATTAAACCAATTATTTACTTAACCAGTAAGTTAACTTAACCAGTTAGTTAAGCTCTATATCCTACAATATCTATAGGGAAAAATGTTACACTGAAAATAAAAAACCACTTTGAAAGTGCTTTTCATGCATGCTCCAAGTTAAATATTTTCCTTTTCATTAATTTTCCACAGAAACACCCCATAAATTTCTATGAAGTAATCCTAAAGTAAACTGGTATGTGGAAAAAGTTACTCACCCATAACACTTCATAGGTAAAAACTAAGTGTTAAATTCAGTTGGTTATAAGATATGTACATTAATTTAATTTTCATTCTTTTTTTTTTTTTTTTTTTTTAAGGTCAATTTGATTTTTTTTCTCCAGATGAGAAGTTTAGTTACAATAACCCAGATTATTTAGGTAATACATTGTTGTCTCTTTTAAAAAATATAAAAGTTGGTCCAAATAAGAACAGAAACAATGAAAAAAGATCAGGTACAACTGACTCCCTGGACAGCAATTAGCCTACTGCAAATATCTGAATGACAGGTTAAATCTAATGACATCTGTGGGCCACAGCAGGATTGAGTCTTCAACTCTAAACTTTAGACCAAGTGAAAACACTGTGTTTAAACACTTGCCCAAATCCAAATTAGAGCTTAACAACTGTCGCTCTGATATTTAACAGTTTTTTCAAACTTTCACACAATGGACTATTGTTGACACAGAAAATTTCTTGTGGGCAGCAACCTACTCTCAATATAAACTTCTAACTGAAAACACAAGAAATATGAAATAGTGCCACCGAGCTGGCTACTCATCACTGCTTTGAGAAGCCAGTGGTTTCCATAGGTTGATTAGGTGTTGTTATTTTCATGCCTCTCTCATTATTTCCAATACAAACAAGCAAAAAGCAAACCCACGCCTCCCCATATACACACACACTCTGCAGGACTCAAATACAGGAGGATCTAACAGCGTGTACATATTTTATCACAACACTTTTACAGCCAAGGGCAGCACGGAGCAGTTTAACAATGCCAAATGTATCCTCTAAACGATTTGTAAAATGGTTGCTTCGATGGCTCCTCTAACATTCGTCACGTTGTAGGGTATGTGATTAGGAATAAGCCTGATTTATTATTCTCAACAGTGCAAATGCTGGCAGTTAATGCTGACCTTGACTAGCCATTGCCATCAAGCTCATCTGTGTCTCTGCAAGTTGGCTTTAGTAATAGTTATATGGAGAATTAATTAGAAGTAACAAATTTTGTAAAGAAGAGTCAATAAAACCACAGATAATCCAGCATTTTAAAAGCTGATTATATAGGTTATTATGCTTTTCAAACCAGATGTCATACAGGAGCACAGTTTAAACAAACGATGCCTCTCTGATGATAAAATGAAGCAGTCCAAAGAACCATAAGCCACAACATGAATCCGAAACTCATTTGTTCCAAGTGCTTTTATTATTATGAGATCTGGAGGAGTCCTTTTTAATTCCACATCATTGACTTTTCTTTTTCGTACAGAAATTTTCTGATCATAAAACAAACAGAAGGAACCTGAGTACACCTCAGTAAATAAAGCTATGCAAAAAAAAACAAGATAAAAAGAAGTTAAGATCAGCATCATATTTTCACCAAAAGAAAAGCAACCTTTAAGAGGAAAAATAATCAGGAGATTTAAGATGCAGAAATTGCCAGCATCTTCCTTCTACCCTCTCTCATCTTGTTTCTGAAGGGGTATAACCTTCAGTGAGAGTCATCATCTTCTGGGGACTGGCACAGGAAAATACGATCATTAACTCTGCACACACAGATAGTGAAACTAACCTTCCTGCAGCCCAAAACAAGAACTGTGTATTCCAATGGTATTACAGAACCATAACGTGGACAATCTGCCTGAGCACAGAGACCAGAGATCAGC